AGGTGAAATAATTTGGGGTGGCTAATCTACTAGTGAAATAAGTGGGAGTTAATTTCCATATTCTGTTTAATTGTTTTAAGATAATGATGTGTAACGCGGTGTAGTTATATAAATAGATAGATAGGTTGTCCATAGGTCTTATAGTGTCGTGGTGTCTGTGTGTCTAGTGAAAGTAACATTCATGGGAGCATTTCCGTGTTAGAAGATGAATCATAAACCAATGGGCATTTCCCGCGTTTTAAGAAGAGTCCGCCCTCTTAGGTCCTGTTTTCTCTGACAGCGTCCCGATCGATTCATTCTGACCTTGGCTTTGGCTTTATATAAATTTTCTTTTATTTCATGTATTTATCATAAATTAAATATCTCTAAGTTCATAATTATATTGTTTAGAATATTATACTAGCATGTGGTTAATTATAGAAGGTAGATAGCTAGTGGATTGTGGTAGATTGTGGTGGTGTGAAGTCATGAATGGAGGTGTCGGGAGAGGCGGCAGGTGACTGGGGGTGTTTGGCGGGAATTTAGGTCAGACGGCGGCGCCAACCCCAACACACCTCAAGGTTTGTTTATTTGTAGGGATGCCGTACCTGTCATATCTCCTCCTCCTTTCTCTTGTCTCCCTCTTCTTCCCTCCCTCTTTAGTCTCCCTCCCCCCATCTTCTATCTCTCCTTCTCCCCCTTCATTATTTCCGTATCTCACTTCCTTTTTTTCATTTGTTTATATCCGTGTGAAGATTTCTCCCTGTCCTCTTCATTCTCCCTTCCTCTACCTTCGTTATTTCCTTCTCCCTTCATTCATCCTTCCATCTCATCTTGCTGTTTCTCGTTTCTTCATGTCTCTCCAGTTCCTTGTTTCTCTCTTCCTTTCTCCTTTCCACTTTTCTTTCTCATCTCATCCATTTTTTGTCTCCTCCTTCCTCCTCCCAACCTCCCACCCTGCCCTCCTTCCTCCTCGGCCTCACCTGCCTCCTTCCCTCCTGGCCTCCTTCTCCCACTGCCCCCCTCCCCCCCACCTCCCCACCCCTCCACAACACACCAGTTATATCAATAATCAGTCATGAGTAACAGCAGGTGTGTAAACAATAGCAGGTGTGTAAACAATATTAGAATACCAAACACTCGCCTCACGGTACAGTCTCAGTGGATTTTTGACGCCATCTTTACTGTAATCTTCAAGAGTATATTTACAGTATAGTCTCAGTGGATTTCGGACGCTATTTTGTCGTTCCCGCGCCATTTATGACTGCCATTTTTTTGTCAACTTAAATAATCCGATTAAGGGAAACAAAAGTCAAGGAAATATGAATATAAATTACGCGGAAGTTAAAATATTAAATAAAAGCGTAGGAGTTAAGATACAAAAGCGCGTGAAATAATAAAAAATAAAGAACCAACATAAAAGCGCGCGAAAAGTAGCAACACAAAAGCGCGGGAAAGAAGCTCTCAGGTGTTGCTCTAGCGGTCAGATCAACAACCTCGGTAAACGGAAATGATGTGCTGGGTGCGCATCACTAATGTATTTGGTTTTAACTTGAGAATTATGAGTATTTTTGGGTAGGAATAAATCGGTAAGTAAATTTATCCACATATATGACTTACTGGGTTTATTTAGGTATATAAATCAATATATTCTTGCGAATTTTGGAATAAATTTTTTAGACCGCATAAATCAGACATTTTATGAAGATAATTATAATATTTCCCGTATTTAAAATTTCGCCATTTTCCTCTTCTGGGTTTCATTCATAAATATAAAATAAAACAAAAATTAATAATGATTTAGAATTTCTTTATTAAAACGTTCCTTATCTCTTAAACATTGTCTTTAGAAACAATTACAGCCTGGAATAATAATTATACCCGTTTTAATTATTAAGAATACTTGTATATGTAATGAACGGATGCTTGTGAAATATGATTCAGAGTGGAGTGAAAGTCTAATTGTGGGCGATAATGAACGCGGCCCCTTCACCACCGACGCCCATATAAAACTATCTTATTTATCTCTATGTCGCTTTACAATCTACTATAGCAGGATATGTATGACTATTGGTGTATTTAAGGGATATATGAGGTTGAATTTAGCCCAGGAACTGTGTATAGAGGGAGAGCGGTGGTGAGGTGGTCACGTTCGGGAGCATTGCTCTGGACAAATGCGTCTTGGTTGACAAGTTGTGCGCGAAGTTCCCCTGCGACGGTGCCAAATCTACCAGCTGGCATGATACAGGATTCACTATCAAATACAATGTGTGTGTGTGTATAGTGGTTAGCATGCTCGCCTCGCAAGCAAGCGGACCCGTGTTCGATCCCCGAGCAGGGTAAAACTATGGGCAAGTTTCTTTACGCCATTTGCCTCTCTACCCAGCAGTAATTGGGAACCCGGATGTTAATCGATTTGCGGATCGTGTTCCAGGGTAATGGTTAGCCAGTGTAGTTGGCGAGTTGCCCAGTCTTCTCGGCCTATTCCTTGACACTGGGTCATGCAGCTCGTTAACTCAGGCAAGGCCGGATTCAGGAGTGGGCAAAGCGGGCAGCTGCCCAGGGGCCTCCACATATCAGGGCTGGTCGACTTGAAACCACATGAATGACTCCAGTCATGTCTCACTTTTGTGTGTGTGTGTGTTGGAAATTTGTACACTTATCAATGAATATACAGTTAATTAAAAATTTCTCAATGTTCTAATTTCCTCAATATAACTGCATATGGCTTCAAAATTCTCCAAAGAAGTGTTCAAATTTAAAAATTTTCCCGGGGGGGGGGGGGCTTACAGCGCCCCCCAGAACTCCCAGATGTTTAGGCTCACTTCACTCGCCACCCCACCCTCTTGGGTAGTTATAATGAGGGGGGCCTCCACAAAGAGGCTGCCCATGGGCCTCCACAGGTCTAAATCCGGCACTGAACTCAGGGTGTGTTGGTTGTGTTGATGACAGCATCTACACCTCAAACAAATTCACGCCTAGGAGGCCCTTGGGCCGACCATCCTCGTTACACAAGGAACAACCATTATTATTATTATTAGGCGCATCGTGTTCAAAAGGGGGTGTTGGTGGGAGGGGGACAAAAGTGGGTATTTGAGGCAGGTGACGAAAAGGGGTATTGGAGGGAGGGAGAACAAAAGGGAGTGTTGGAGGCAGGACAGAAAGGGGGTTGGAGGAAGGGGGAAGAAAAGGTGGGGTTGGTCACGACTCAAGGACAACACAGGGGGGGGGGTGTGGATATAACGAGTGTGTTTGGAAGCTTCAGCCTCCAAGGACACGCGTTTGTACACATACCTTCCCCCAGGGTGTGTACGTGGCCAAGGTTGTTCGGCCAATTGTACTTGTATTGTCCAGCACCTATCCTCTCCCCCCGGGGCTGTTAGGATGTGGTGGGAGACGTTTGTGTGTCTGTTTCTGTCTGTCTGGGTGTGTCTGTGTCTGTCTGTCTGTCTGGTTTTGTATGTCCGTCTGGGTAGTGTTTAGGATTTATTGGTATTTTGGTTTTGTAGGTTTTTATGCAGACAGACAGAGAGAGAAGACACACACACACTCAAGGGCACCCATTACCCTCCCCCCTCAAGGTATCATCCAACTCACGCCACCAGCTTCGACATCCAACAGACGTAAATAAAAACAAAACACAATCCAGTTCCTTTTTTTATATATCATCAGTATCTCCAAAACAGCTTAGGTCTTTTTTTAATATGTTATGAGAGCTATTTTTTATATATCTAGATGACAAAGGGTAAAAAAAAAACACTCGTTTGATTTTTGTGGAATTTGTGAAGATTTTGATTTGATTGTTGTGTTTTCGTTCGTGAGTTGAATCCGGATTTTGAGTTTTTTTTGCTTATCTTTTTCGTTTCCATGGTGATGTAGAAGATATACAGGGCAGCAGCACACACACACACCAAGACAGACAGACAGACAGACACCAAGACAGACAGACAGAGACAATAACCTCACCCCCATGAGAGGCAACCTCTGCCCTCCCCTCCCTCTCCCTCCCCTCCCCCTCTTCCCCCTCTCCCTCACCCCTCCCCCCTCTCCCCCCCAACAAGTTCCCAACATCCCGTGGGCGGCGGATGTGAAAAGGTCACGAACTTGACCTGAGGAGAGACAGACAGACAGAGGTCAAAGGGTAATGGAGATTGCAATGTGGGTGTCTCCTGCAAGCTTCTGTCAACATTGCATGCAATGTTGTCTTTGTTCTTGTGTTAATGTTGCAAAGACGATACATACATACAGATTTACACACAGACTTACTTACATACAGACTTACATATACGTACACACAAGAACGAATTATACTTTGTGTGTGTGTGTTAATTACCTCCATTATATTTTAGAGCTAAATAATGAGACAACATAACCTTATCGTGAGACCTGGAAGTGTTTTGTTTTCTCTCTCTCTCTCTCTCTCTCTCTCTCTTTCTCAGGATACAGTAGGCTGAGTTAGCGGGACTTAAGGATTAATACCACTGGTTGGAGATGATGCGACTCTCAGGTTCACACAGGGGTCAACAGGGGTCACGGGGGGGGGGTGTTGACCTCTGGGGGAACGAGGGAGGTGGGTAGGAAGGCAGAGAGAGAGAGAGAGAGAAGGGGGAGATGAGAGGGAGAGAGAGAGAGAGAGAGGATTATTTTTGAACTTGGTCAATACTCGTCTCTTGAACACCCCTAATAATTTAGAGGTCACAGATCACCTTGTCTTAATCATCTGTTACCTACCTGTTAATTACTTATTAATCACCCGTTAATTACCTGTTGATCACCCTTTGTTTACTTGTTGATCACCTGTTAATTACCTATTTATCACCCGTTATTTACCTGTTGATCACCCGTTAATTACGTATTAATCACCCGTTATTTACCTGTTGATCGGCCGTTATTTACCTGTTGATCGGCCGTTATTTACCTATTGATCACCCCTTAATTACCTATTGATCACCCCTTAATTACCTGTTGATCACCTGTTGTATACCTGTTGTAACTAAGGGAACATCTTCTCTCCTTAACAGATGACCTGCCCACAGAAGACATCGACCTCACCACCGCCTTCCCACACACTCCGGCCACCACTCCGGCCTCCACTCCGGCCTCCACTCCCCTCCCTGATGACCTTAGAGGAGGGGAGACGGAGGTGGTAGGATGGGCGGAAACAACGGTGGACGGATTGGACGCATCGGAGAGCCAGACGGAAGTGCCAAGTACAGATGACCCTCCTGGCACTGTCACTACCCGCCTCACGACACTGCCCGTTAGTGACATTGTCGAAGAGCCGGATGGTGCTACTGTCCTGGAAATTCAGGACCTACTTACTACTGACGGTGATGTGGTACTTACACTGCCACCCGGTGATGATGTGAGTGTTTTAGACAGTGTCGTGGTACTTACGACAGTACAGAGTGAGCCCGGTGTAGATACTGTCACGGACGGGAGAGATGCGATTTCGACAGTACACGATGACGGTGTTAGTGTTTTAGACAGTGTAATGGACGGAGACGTGACAGATGATGTGGGTGTAACGACGATCAGTGTCACGGACGGTGGTTACACGATACCCGGTGAGGACAGTGCCATGGACAGTAGTGGGACAGTAGCCACGGTGCAAGATGTGTTTTATTTAGACAGTGCTACGAACGGTGAGTATACAGTCACGTCGACAGTGCCCGGTGATGACGCCGAGTCTACTGTATTGACGGCTGTAGACAGTGTTACGGACGAGGATGAAATACTGTCTACAGTACAAGACAGTGCCGTCACTGGTGTAAATACTGTCACGGATGAAGAGGAAGTGACAGCGCAAGGTGGTGTCACGGGTGAGGGTGTCATGACAACTACAGTAACAGGTGGTTTGTTGACGGTAGGTGTCACAGACGGGGATGACGTGACAGCTGCAGTAACAGGTGACGAGGGGACGGCAGCTGTCATAGACGGGGGTGAAACAGAAGCCACAGACTCGACGACGGCGGTCAGTCACGACACCTTGGAGCAGGACCTTGAAATCCCCGAGGCTGTGGTAGCGAGGGATCCTTCGTCTTCCACCCCATCAGGAGATTTGGAGGAGGAGGAGACCATCACCCCAGTCTCTGTCACCTTGGAGACCGACCTGACACCCGAGGATGACCACCAAGACCCTGTGTCCGATCCCCCACTGACGGAAGCGGCCCTAGATGACGAGGCCGGGAAGACGACGAAGAATCTTCCTGATGATAACGATGATGATGACTCGGCAACGATGGAAAGCGACGATTCGAACGGCAGCGATTACGACCTGATAGTGGAGACGGTAATCAGTACAGCGACGATTTATTTTGATGACGACTCGTTACAGCATCTTGGCACCAGCCGTCGTTTTCCTCGCACGGTGTCCGCTGATCTGAGAGCGACGCCCGCACAGCTCAACGACGTGGAGATGACGGAACAATACCGCGGCTTCCTCTCACGTCACTACCCGCCCTCCTCCCTCACCACCTACACCACCATCGTCGACCACTCAAACCTCAGGAAAACCAACCGCAAGTCTGACCCTCAGCCAGACATCGACGACATAATCAAGGGGATCGTGCAGCTGCTGGGAGGCAACGTGAAGGTGACAGCTGCAGAAGTCCCCCAAACTCGCCTCACGACCTTCGGTAACTTAGACGTGACCAGCACCCGCATCAACAACAGAGGTCCTCCCAGACTCACTCATATACCATATGGGATCCTCAATTCCCCAGTCCAAACTCGACCACCAATCCGGCGACCAGTCTCTTCCCCGGCCAACTTACCCAATCTTCGACCTCTACCTGGCCGACCACAGTTTGTAGCCAACACTCGGCCGCCCTTTTTGGTTCCCCTGCCGCCCTCCCTGGCTAGCCGTCCCTTGCCGCCCCTCCAGCGACCCTACGCCACAGGTATCCCTCTCCCCATCGACCTCCTCCCCAACTCTGACGAGGTTTACGACACTCAGCCGGAGATCACGGTCAATCCTGTCATCCCGGGCTTCCCAGACTACGGCGATAAGACCCTAGCGAGCAGACCAACAGCAGGAGAGAGTCCACACACCACTGAAAGTTCCCAGACGACCCCCACACTACTACACATGGCACCCACCTCTCTCATACCACCACCACCGCCACAAGTTGACACGGAAGAAATTGACAACATCACCACATTCGCCACAATAACATCTACCACACAACTCGTCGCCCAGATTTTGTCGGATGTGCTTGAGACATCCACGAGCGTCTCCAGCATCGAACCGGAGACCTCGACGACAAATAGTGAGACAAATGTTGCCACAGATGTGATACCCAGCACCACAAGTGTTCCAGAGGTGTCGACTACAAGTGTCCCTATCTCCCAGGACACGGCCGCCGCCACAACAACAACCACCACCACAACCACCCCGCCGTCTCAGACCACCTCAGAGACATACCTCCTTCCCTCCATGCTAGACCCAACCTCCACCGTGACCTCAACCTCAGTTCTAGACCAAGAACCTCAACCAACCTCCACTATCACCACCAGTACCTCATCCACCACACTAAGTCAATCATCCGCCACACCCTCCATCACCACTCCCACGCCATTGCTATCCATCCCACGCCTTCCCACGCCCTCCTACCGTCCAACTGGCCCTCCACCACCCTCCCTGTCACATCCCCGTCCAGGCGTCGTACTGGATGACTCACAATACCGTCCAGGACAGATCATAACAGGGACAGTGGTACCTTATGACGTGGGAGGACCCGGTGACATCTTTGACGTCACGGTCTCAGCTCACCAGGGGTTCGGTCCACCCATCAGAGGACCACCTTTCAGACCTCGTCCTCCAAACTCGGGCCAGCCTTATCTTAGTCAAGGTGAGTGAGTGTTAGTGGCAAGTACTGTACCTGTAGTGTCTTGATTAACATGTATGTATGTATGTATGTATGTATGTATGTATGTATGTATTCGTCAGTGTTGTGTGTTTGTCGCATTGTGTAAAAAAATGTATGTGTATTTGTTTGTAGGCTTGTGTACAGGTTTGTGTCACTGCAAAAGAGAGAGTGTCTGTGTGTGTAATTATTTGTCCCGGATATCTCCAGGGTATAACGCAGTAGTTTATGTTTGTGTTTCTTTTCGATTTGTTTTGCTCTTCTCTCCGCTTATGTTTATTTCTGACACCACACCCGATGTACTTCAAACTTGGTGTGTGTGTGTGTGTGTGTGGTAGAGAGAGACTGTCCAGTGACATTTTTCCGAGCACCATACAATTCACACCACGTATCTAGGTAATTAAGGTCTCGGTACACTTTTGGCGCCACTCAAGTGAACCAGTTAGATGAGGTCGTACATCTTCACCCACGAGGAATTCTTAACGCAGAATTGGATATTTAAAAAAATATATATTCATGATTTGTGCCAGGCCGTGTCATGGTCAGCGTTGCCAAGTGTCCAGTGTGACCGCAAGCGAGCCATTCCTGAGCCCTGTAATTGTAACAGCGAGTGTGTGTGTGTGACCACCAACATTAACAGCAACGGCAGAGGCAGCACTGCTCTACTTTCCACCCGCAGCATATGGCGCGGAACAGCTCCACCTCAGCCAGTGCGATGCGTGGTTGTTTTCTCTTTGTTTACAAAAATCAAGTTAAAATATTTTTGAAAGTAGATAAGTATTGTTATTTCTACTCTAATAAGAGCACTAACCTACGAAATGTTCAATAATTTGGTGATTGTAGTTCAATATGTATATCAAAATAGAATTGTCAAAATCAACAGGAAGAAAATAAGGCACGGAGAACGCTGTGAGCCCGCGGTCACTGAATTCAAGTCACGGTGTTCGGTTCCGTGACCGACGACTTTCTATCATCCAGCCGCCTCAATTACCATTACGGACAAGGACCTAGGCGTTGAATAGACATAATGGGGATAAAATTATGATAAATTATTGTAAACGACAGTGGGGATAAAGTTAAGCGAGTAATTTTACGGTCTGTTAGTATCGTAGCCATGATGATTGTACGCGAACGTTCCTTCCGGGTACGATGGAACAGTAAGTTCGGGCTACTGCGGAGGGAAGGGGGGGGGGGTAATGGTAGAGATAGATAAAAATAGACAGATATGAGAGAGAGAGAGAGATGGGAAGGGAAGGGAAGGGAGCCAGATAACTATCACCTGGAGAAAGTGTAAAGGTAACCTAGTCATTATTTACGGCTGACTGATACCTTCACGCATTGGCTGGCTGTCTATGACGTCACCGAATTGCTCTTAGTGACGTCACAGATCTCCAGTGAAGGTAGGGGGTACTTCATGATAATATACAATTACATTAAGTTATTTAAGGTAGTTTTTTATCGTAACTATATATTATGTAAAGCTGGTAGAGAATTAGCGGGAGAGAGAGACTTAGGGAGTGACGACCTGGTAAATAATCAACTTCCTCAGTGTAATACCAATTCACTTTCTCTCCGTCTCTCTCATAAATTATTCTCATAAATTATTCTCGTTATATTATTCTATTATTACTCTCTCTCTCTTTCTCTCTCTCTTTCTCTCTCTCTTTCTCTCTCTCTCTCTCACTCAATTGGTATGTCTGTCTGTATGTCTGTCTGTCTGTATAATAGAGTCACAAAGCATCTGTCATGTTTATTATTGACTTCATTCTATATTGACTTTATATCACTGTATCAATGTATTTCTACCTCTGTAACACTGTACCAATGTATCTCTACCTCTGTAACACTGTACCAATGTATTTCTACCTCTGTACCAATGTATTTCTACCTCTGTACCAATGTATTTCTACCTCTGTAACACTGTATTTGTACCTCTGTAACACTGTACCACTCTATCTCCACCTTTATAACACTGTACCAATGTATTTCTCTACCCCCTGTTTCAATGTACCACTGTAACACTGTACCACCTCCTCCACAGGCATTGCTCAAGGGCCCCTGGTGACGACTCCTGTAGAAGGGAATAACGGGTTTGTGTCTATTGATGGCCGCAAGACTTACTTCGATCTGTTCCCCACCACCGCCACCCACGACCAGGAGTATCTGCAGGTGAGAGAGAGAGAGAGAGAGAGAGAGAGAGAGAGAGAGTACTTATCATCATCAATAACTGCAGACATTTGTAGAGAGAGGTGCAAAGAGAGAGAGAGAGAGAGAGATTAAACTGCTATCATCAGTAATAAAAACAGGGAGAGAGAGAGAGATAGAAAGAGAGACAGTGAGAGAGAGAGACTAACTAACACCATCACCCCCCACAGCCACCTTCACAACAGTCCATGGTAGGGACGGGGGTCGGAGTCGTCATCCCAGAAGTGGATATTCCCTTAGACAGCAGCGGACCCCCAAACAACCAAGGGGGGTACTATCCACAACCCTCGGCACCTCAGCCCGCTATACCCCCACCCACGCCGCCCACACCACACCCACAGCAGCCCACACCACACCCACAGCAGCCCACAACACCAACGTCCAGACCCACCAGGAAGCCCTACAATCGAAGGCCTACTCAGCCCTCCATCAGGTAGGTCTTGAAGCCTTTGATTATGGTCATCATTTGAACCTCTGGGACTGAAAGGTCTTTTGAGGTGTATAGGTGAACCATTTAAGACTTAATTGGTGCTTTATTGTTAATTAGATGAGATGAATTGAACCCTGATAATTACTATGTCTTTATCAACTTGTTACAATGTTTAATGAAGTTATTCCTGGGTGAATATTATTAACATACAGTTCTGACATTTTTAATCATATTGGAGTTAAAATATTCAAACACCCACGACTGAATCTGTTGACTAAATGTGTCTCATCTTCTTCAGGATCGACACTTGCATTGTGGGTGATGACTCGACCTGCCAGGAGCAACTTGGGGAGGTGTGTCGGACTGAGGAGGAGGTGTCCAGCTGTTACTGTAAGCCTGGAACTGCTCGACGAAGACCTAGGACCCCTTGCAAGAGTAAGAGAGAGAGAGAGTGTGTATCTTAATGTGAGAGAGAGAGAGAGAGTGTGTGTGTGTGTGGGTCTTAGAGAAAAAGAGTGTGTGTGGGGGGGGGAGGTGGGGTCTTATCCAACATTGTCTTAACACCTTACTTGTTCATTTACCCCTAAGGTCTTGCTGAAGTCTTTAAGTCTTGCCTAATCTTACCCATATGTTACCCAAATACCTCTTCCCCCATCCTTCCCTACCCCCCCCCCTCCCAATCTTCCTTGCATCTTACCCAAGACTTACCCTTAACTCTTACCTTCTCTCCGTAGGAATAATCTCGCTCTACATGTCGCTGAAGGTGGACCGGGTGGGTGACCAACGCATAGTGTGGGGCGGTAACTACTACAACCCAGAGTCCCAGGAGTACCGCTTGTTGGAGTGGGAGGCCAGGCATGCTGTACGTACCTCCTTCAGGGTGTTCCTCAGGGTCATACAGGGTCATTTTCTGTCCTCCAGGGCCGTCAATAGCATTAGTGGCCATATTTTGTGACTTACCCAGCAATATACACTTATGGTTTTTGGGTCTGAAGTTAGGTTAGGGTAGGTTAGGTCCGAGGCCTCAGTACAATGAGTCCACCTAGGTGCTTAAGTCCTATACACATGAGGAATTCAGTCATACTTTGTCATGTAATCAAACACTTTTATTATAATGAACATTTAGAAAAGATTAAAGAACTCTTTGGTCAAAGAACTCAAAAACCCTAATGAGGAACTAGATTCAAGATTTAAGCACAAAGACATCAATTGAAAGTACCGATACTGTATGACCATTCCCAAGTGGTGACGATGCTATATATGTGATGCCTTAACATTTAAAATTACTTAAAAATGCAAAGAATTAACATAAATGTGAATAGAAGAGTATCTAGTATAACACAATGGTCTTGCCCAGATCTCGAATGCCATGTCCAAGACGCCCCTGAGCTCAGCGTATATGGGCAACACCGTACACAAGTTCTACTCCCTGGGGGGTAAAGTGATCGTCAACTCTACCATCAACCTCGAGGACCTGCCATCCACCCGGAGCCGCAACATCCGTCACACCCTCCAGCGGCAGATCATCCAGGTCATCCAGAGTCACGCTAATAATGTGGGTGATTCGGCAATCTGGGTGGATGGTCCCCTCAACCCTATCCCGGATGTTTCAGGTATGGATTAACTCCCTGACCTATCCACTCACTCACTCTCTTCTTGTCTCTCTCTAACTCTCTCTCTGTATGTATTTCTCTATATATCTTCATACACACAAGAGCTATGTATCTCATCCATTTACTTATGTATCTTCACCCTGTATCACCCCTTTGGCAGACGTGAACGAATGTAACGAGGCGACGCTACACGACTGTCACGTCCACGCCAGCTGCATTAACGAGTTTGGCACCTTTACTTGTCGCTGTTTACCTGGCTATACTGACAGGTAAGTCCTCTTGTCTAGGGGAGGTTAAATTATGGTGTAGGCTTAGGTTAACTTTTCTGGGAAGTTAGCATTGGTAAAGTTAAGGTTAGGTTAAGTTTTGTTAAGGTATATAAGTTGTGAGTAATGTAGATGATGCCATGAAAATATATTACAGTGAGAGGGAGAGAGAGAGAGAGAGATATTCTAGTATAGTCTCCAGTCTCTCTTACATGTTGAGTAAAAGAGAGAGAGAGAAGGAAGGTGAGAAGAAGCAAAAGAGAGAGAGGGGGAAGATAGGATAGGCAAAGAAAGAGAGAGGGAAGATGAGAAAGAGAGAAAGGGAAGAGGGGAAAGAGAGAGAGAAGATTGGATAGACTGAAAGATGGGAAAGAGAAAGAGAGAGAGAAAGAAGAGAGGTACATACATAGATCTAAAACCCACAATTATTCACAGGTTCTCAGATGACCCAGAGCAGGTAGGAAGGAAGTGCGAGTCGTGCTCCTCTGATTACTGCAACAAGAGGGGCGACTGCCACATCCAGGACGGCCATAAAGTGTGCCAGTAAGTGCCAACCTTCAGTGCCAGTCATGAATGTCAGCGTATTTAAAAAAAAATTATATATGCCCTTAAATGGCAGTCATCATCTGTGGACATTACCTGTAGGGATGGCGGCCATTACCAGTAGACGTTTCATGTTCCTTGAGTTCCATTTTTATGCTTATGGAGCTGGAGTAGGGAATCCTTAGCTGTTATTTAAATCCTAATGAGGAATTGGGTCAGTAAACGTGTGTTGTTGCTGCAGGTGTCGAGGGTCGTACTACGGGACGAGGTGTGAGATCGACGGCGAGGTGTTGGGTGTGGCTGTTGGGGCGTCCGTAGCTGCTGTGGTCATCATCGTCCTCACCCTCATCTTCCTCTGTATGTGGAGGTGAGTCACTCTCTTCTGGGACTCTAACCCTAACCTAACCATCATCCTTGACATCTTATTGGCTGCAGTTAAAGATGAAATATGAAAAACTGCAACACCAACTTGACATATCTCTGTTGAAGACTGTGTGTGTGCTGGTGTAATCTAACCAACCCTAATGTAATGTAATCTAACGTAATCTTAACCCTAATGTAATGTGATCTAACGTAATCTTAACTGACCTTGGCATCTTCCCTCCTGCAGTCGAAGATGGAAAGCCCAAGACCGCAAGACTGAAGTGCTGGCACGTGGGGCTGCTCTTGGGGGCTTTGCCGTAAACGTTCAACACAAGGGCTCCTCCTCCACCGCCCACCAGTACGGGGCAACTCTTGAAGACCGTATGCGATGGGCACAGCTCGCTGACACACTCTCCAGTCAGAATATTTACGCGGTGAGTCCTTGATTGTAATTGGTTAGTTTTGACTTTCACCCGTCCTTGGATAAAGTCCCGCCACCAGAATAATCAAGTGGATAATGTCCCGTGATAAAAGTTTACCTTATTAACATCTCATTTGACTTGTGTTAGTTAAAAGTTAATTAACAAGAAGCTCACATTAATTTAAATAAGGTTAGGTTACAGTAAGTTAGATACACAATGCAGTAGTTGATTTATGTAGCAAATAAAGAAAGTATCTGTGTTTGTCATTGATTCTGGCCGTCTTGTAAGGTAGTGGGAGACGACTCACATTGATTCTGGCCGTCTTATAAGGTAGTGGGAGACGACTCACAAGATTATAGAAATTGAAATTGTTCTCTCAGGTTAGGTAGAGGTACATTATGTTAGGTTAGGTTTAGGATTTGGTTCAATAACATATGAAAAATTACTTCATGTTGTTCTTGACTTACATATTTACCCCCAAATCTCTAACCCCCTGTTGCAACCTAACCCAACCCAACCCAACCCAACACAACCCTATCCTATCCCATCCTATCCCATCCCATCCTATCCTAACCTATCACTAAGTTCTGTCTACCTTTGTCTTCCTTAGCAACCATATTAGCAAATAAGAGATCACCTGAAGATTAGCCACCCCAGTTTATTTCACCTGATGATTGATCTTCATAATACTAATCTAACCTAACTGAACCTAACCTATATAACCTAACCTAACCCAACTTAACCTCCTCCCCTTCCTTCTCCTTCCCAGGTTGCATTAGCTTGTTTGTTCATCAGGAGTAAAAAAAATGGGGTGTCTAATATTCTGGTGAACCCACAAATTTATATACCAGAATGGCCATGAGTATACCAATATGGCTAGACAACATGAGTATACCAATATGGCTAGACAACTGGCTCAACAACTGACAACCGTTCAGCATTTACATACCATGACGGTTGCTAAGGAAAGCCATAATTGGGTTGATCTTGGTTGATTGGTTCAATATCCCAGACGAACAGTTTATTGCACAGTGACCAATTTGCACGACGTTACCTCCTGTCTTGTATTAACTCTCTCATGCTGTGTAAGTTATGTGAAGAGCGACTACTATTGTTGGTTGGTCTTACTTGAGCCAATCTCTGACTATTATTTGTTTACTAAGGCCAGAAATTGATGTTTGATCTTTAATGCCAATCCCTGACTACTGTGTTATGTAGGTCGACTAATTTGACCTGTGGTTTATAATACTAACCAAAGTTAACTAAGCCTTGACAGTCAGTTGGTGCAGCAGTACAGTCAGTTATATTGATCTCTGACCTCCCATTTCAACCCTGTTTTAACTAATCCTTCTTGACTATCATATGATGCAGAAAGGACAACTAATTTGGTCTGACCATTGGTTCCATCCCTACCAAAAAACAAAACAAAAAACTATTATTGTTGTCACAAGAAGATCAAACTGGCATGATGACCTCTGCTCTCAACACATTTTAGCTATTACTTAAAATGTCATTGACCAACACAAAGACCTTGAACTTTGACCTCATGGCAGCAGCAACAGCAGCAGGGGTACCACCACGGTGATGTTGGTGGCCCTGGTGTTGGGGCGTACACGGCCTCCAGTAGGGACTACCTCACCTCCGCCGTGCCCTCCACGCCCTTCTCCATCTACAACCGCGTCACCCGGGCCATCTCAAACTCCACCATGGCCGCAGCTGCCCGGGACGGTGGCGGCGGTCTCCTGAGCCGCATCCGCAATGTGTTTGGCGGCAGAAGGGGCGGAGGGGCGAGGAAGGGCAAGGAGAGGAGACCGCCGTACATGATGAGCCAGGAGCCATCACTGACCCTGCAGCAGTTGATGGCCCTTCACACCCACCTGTCATCTGTTAGTTGACTTAAACGCTAATACCTTGTCTGTCTGTCTGTCTGTTCCACCTTCATTCTTCATAGTTTTGTATCTGATCTTAAAACTAATACCTTGATGTCTGTCTGTATATCTGCCTGTTACATCTTGATGCTTCTTAGTTCTCTAGATTACGATCATAGCCGTCACATTTCCTTAACAACACCCCCGCGCACACACACACACACACACACACCCACCTCCACACACCCACCCACACCCTCACCCACCTCCACACACCCACCCACACCCTCACCTACTCTTCATGGGGGAACTATAGTAATAATAACAGCACTAATATATTTTAATCTTAACTATATTTTAAATTATTCAAATCCTTATTGTGTCTTTACTATATTTTCTTCTTGTATATATTTTATCTCCCTTTATATCACTAAACAATACTTCTTTCTGCGTTATTGAACATTATTTTATTTCCAATGTAAAGTAATTTTTATTCATCAATGACTAACGTAACTGTTATTTATATTTGTATTAATTTGTTTTATTGACGATTGATAATTGGAATTATTACTTTATTTCCTGCACTTTACTTTGGTTTATAATAAGTAATGATACTTTAAGTAATTTTTTATATTATTTTTTCTGCGTAATATTTAATTTTTCATACTAATAACATAATACTTGTCATCTATCCTTACTAGTTAACTGTCCTTACTAGTTAACTATCCTTACTAGTTAACTATCCTTACTAATTAACTATCCTTACTAGTTAACTATCCTTACTAGTTAACTATCCTTACTAGTTAACTATCCTTACTAATTAACTATCCTTACTAGTTAACTATCCTTACTAGTTAACTATCCTTCCTAGTTAACTATCCTTACTAGTTAACTATCCTTCCTAGTTAACTATCCTTCCTAGTTAACTATCCTTCCTAGTTATATCCTTACTAGTTTACTGTCCTTCCTTGTTAACTATCCTTCCAAGTTAACTATCCTTCCTAGTTATATCCTTACTAGTTTACTGTCCTTCCTTGTTAACTATCCTTCCTAGTTTACTGTCCTTCCTTGTTAACTATCCTTCCTAGTTAACTATTCTTACTAGTTAACGTTAGTGTCTTCTAACTACATGTGCTCCTCGACTTGAGAACGTTCAAATTACAAACTTTCAGAGATACAAACATCATCTCTGAGGGGGGTTACCTGCCAGAACAGGAGTTTAATGTGGACGAGACGGGATTATTTTGAAGAAAATTCCAGATAGAACAAACATTACCTAGAGGAGAAGAGTGAGCCAGGTTTTAAGGCTGTATTAAAGGGTATAGCTGTACTAAATATCCATAATCTTTTCATTTTTTACAATATGTTTGGTATCTACAAGTTGGACTTACAAACAAGCCTCAGGATTGTAACTCGTTCATAAGTAGAGGAGCACCTGTACTGAGAAACTAGAAATAGCTCATTTTTATCATATAGGGGCTAATGCACTACCTATCAGTGGCTATTACCTATTAAACTAACTGGTACTAGACAAACTAGGAATGGCTTTTATCTATCCTGCTGACTACTAAACTATTTAGAAGTGACTATTAATATAGACCAATTAGAAATGACTAGAAATTAGACTTACTAGGAATTAGACCTACTAGAAATGACTAGAAATTAATAGAACTTAGACATACTAGAGGTGACTAGAACCCATCACTACTAGAAGAAGCCTTAACTAGCAAAACTTGGACCACAACCCGAGGCTTAAAAATACTCAATGGTCTCGGAGGTAGGACGCCCATTGATGTTTAATTTATATCCACAGCAACCGGAGCAGCTACGAGGTGTGGGCGGTCCCTCGTCCCCACCCACAGCCGCTGCTACGCCCACACCCTTATTTCAACACCAACGGCAGGTAAGGCACCCACTTTGTATCCCATCGGTGGTAGATATGTCTCGCGCTTGTAGACATCTAACGGTATTTACTCGAGGCGTCACGGTACATACACACTGAGTATTTCCCACTCCACCAGATGGCAGCATCGTCATCGGGCTACGCATCGCTGGGTACTCTAGGGTCGACGGCATCACCACAGTACGGCCACCATCAGTACCCGCCGCAGCAGTTTGGCTTACAGCACCTAAACCCCATGAGCCACCTGACCAGCATGCAGCAACAACAACAACAGCAGCAGCAGCTTCACAAACAGTCGGCCTTTGGGGCACAGTCGACGTACGGTCAATATGGCCCGGCGTCTTTCACTATGTGTAAGTCAGTTCTCTTGCTTTACCTCTTCTGTTACATAAGTTAGGGTTAATGTGTTCTACTTTATAAGGTATTAGTCATGGAGTTTTGGTGATATAACCTTTATTTATGAGAGAAGGGGAGTGAGGAGAGAGAGAGATAGACAGGGAAGGAGAGAGACAGAGTGAGATACAGAGAAAGTGAGAGAAGTATATTGGAGAGAGTGAGAGAGAGAGGAGAGACTTTATAATATAACATTAAACACAGTGGAATATTCACAGGTATAATAATGTATTGTAATATGTATATACTGTAGCTGCTAATTGACATTTTATTTAGAATTATAGAAAATCTTATGAAAATGTTTTATATCTGTGTGGTACTGTATTTTGGTGTGGGCAGATGACACATTTATCTTAGCTGTATTAGATGAACATTTGTCTCCTGTTTTATGAGAGAAGGTATTGACTCTGGGACTGACCTGTTTCATTCTTTCACAGCTCAAGGAGGTGTGTCACGTGCGCCAACTATGGGAGCTCGCACGCCCGTCCCTCTCCATGATATGATGGGTGCAGCCACCATTGGTCCCATGGGTGGGGGCACTGTGGCGCCCTCTGGCCTAGAGAGCTCCGAGGATGAACTGGACCGGCCGTACCACTTACCGCGGCCCAAGTCCCGGGTCTCTCTAGGGGTGGGTACTCTGGCTGCCTCAAACTCCCGTATAGCTCGAAGCTACAATTCCTTGCTGTTTTAGTGCCCGGGATATTAAGACGGTAGCACGCTTTATTCACAATCCACAAGGCACAGGTTCAGTCGTTGCAACCAGATGTGGGTATGTGAGGACCCAGTGAGGGGGTAGATGGGCATATAGGAGTTCTCTTATAGTGAAAAACTTGGGCATCAAGAGGTCCTCATTATAAAGGGGTGGTGGGTGTTGTGGTGCCTTTTGTACAAGAGAGATGTGGGGAACTATTCTAGTGCCAAGAATATGGACATGAAATGGAAGAGACCCTTTTCTAAATCCCCCAACGTGGGTGTACGGCCATGGGCACCAATGGGTAGGAATTCGTTGGGTGGAACTAACTGAGCGTGGGTTAGCATCCCAGCCCACACTAAGAGAAGGGAGGTGGGCTCGAGTTCATGGGCACAATTCTACCACTACAACCATGGGCATTATTTAAAGTAGAATTACCTATTACTGTACTTCTATGTATTGCCTGGTAGTGCTGTAGCTTTCTAAAGAGTAACTATGCTCTTTCCTCTACTCTCCTATGCTTTCTAAAGAGTAACTATTCTCTTTCTCTGCTCTCCTATGCTTTCTTAAGAGTAACTATGCTCTTTCCTCTACTCTCCTATGCTTTCTAAAGAGTAACTATGCTCTTTCCTCTACTCTCCTATGCTTTCTTAAGAGTAACTATGCTCTTTCCTCTACTCTCCTATGCTTTCTAAAGAGTAACTATGCTCTTTCTCTGCTCTCTACTCTCTTTACTCTTACCGCTCGGAAGTCCCAACCTTACTTTCACTAAGTACTTTCCACATGTCTCTATTTTTCCTCTCACAAATTTCCCCAATTCTCTATACATACTTTTACTTTCTATTACTCTCTTTCCTACTTACCACTCCTCTTCACTCTAACACACAAGTATCTCAGTTTTATCTATTGTTCTAGCTCTTTCTCCTGTATTTTTTTTTACTTACACACAAGCACCACAACTTTCTATAACAGTGCCCTTACTTTCTCTTTCACTTTCTCTTATTTTTTTTCCTCCCTTACTGTCACAAAAGTTTACCAGCTCAAATATGTTACTTTCCCTTTTGAATCCTGATATTTTTTTACTTTTTCTACTCATAAAAGTATCCAAGCTTGTGTTCTTTTACTCTTTCCCTCCTTTAACCAAGCTTATATTCCTCTACTTTCCCCTCACACTAACCAAGCTTGTTCACCTCACACTCTCCTCACTCTCCTCACTCTGATGCTAACCCTGGCCTCACTTTGCTTCAGTCCATCACCCTCACCACTTGCCTACCTCACTGGCATCACTCCGTCAACTTGTGTGAGTCCTCTTGGGATGCACCTGTCTATTGTGTGATGTTGTTGTGGTTGTTGAAAGAGGTGATTGGATTTAGTGTCTGTGAGTATGAAATGTATAACACACACACACACACACACACACACACGACATACAGACAGATCAAAATTTCTCTTGTAATGATCTTTAACCATTTCCAAAAGCACATCAGTCTTGCATCCCTATATTTTCACCCTTATAAACATTCCTATAATTATATATGTTTGAATAAATGTTTGGAAGTGTCGGAAAACATCACATGACATTGGCCAGTCACACGCCTCCATGGTTCTGATGTCATCACTGTTATCAGCTGTTTATTGGTTGTGTGACTGCCTCTTGTATACAGTGATAATTACAAGGACCAATCACATGTCTCTCTTGATTTTGACATATGGCTGCTCATTGGTTGTTACAGCATGTTAATGTGGAGCTTTGATGATGTCACAACTACAGAGACATGTCATTGGTCAAGTCAGTATATTAAGCGACCCCTGATTAGTCTAGTATGTTCCATGTATGATGCAGTGATGATGTTAGAGCTATGGAAGCACATGATTGGCCAGTGTGATGTACTGAATGTCCCCTCATTGGTCGTGGCAGTTTCATGCATGGTGCAGTGACGATGTCATAGCTTAGAGAGCACTTGTGATTGGCCAAAGTAAAGCACCAAATGCCCTCTGGTTGGTCATGGCTCAGTAATGAATTCGGAGTCACGGGGGCATGTGATTGGTCAATGCGGTTGCTCAAAATGACCTCTCATTGGCCAGTCCTCGTCCTGGATGATATTTTTCCCCATCCATTACATGCACTGCACTCATGCACTCAAAGACACACTCACACCACACCACACACACTTAAGTCAATAGAGTTGCATCATGAAGTCTGACTAATGATACTCAATTAACACCTTATTGCACCCTGTCTATAAGGTCCACATTTTAAGGATCCCCAAAGGCTGATTTCAGGATCTTCAGTACAGTAATTTAGGGGTTGATTTTAGGTTTAAGGGACATCTTCAATAACCTCAGGCTAGATTTTAGGTTTTATGGGTTCGCCTCAATAACCCAAAGGTCTTATTTTAGCTTTTAAAGGCCCTCTTCAATAACTCGAAAGCTATTTTAGGTTTTAAGGTAATTATTTTATCCCTTTAGGCTTCAAAAATTCTTCTTCGGTTACTTAAAAAGGCTCATTTTGGGTTAAAGTTCTTCCTTCAGTCTCCTTTAAATCTATTTTAGGTGTTTTAAGTCCTTCCTTAATTACTTAAAGGTTAAATTTTAGGTTTAAAGTCATTTTCAGAATCTGTTTTTTCCTCTTGTTTGTGTTTATATAATTTGGGTAATTTTATTCATAATATTTTAAACTTTTTGTTACTCTTTCAAACTTTGTTGTTACTTTTTTGTATATAATTTTTTGTTATTGTTGTGGGATTAGTAGCCTACCTCAAAGAGAGAGAGAGAAGGAATGAATCATGGAGAGAGAGGAGGGGAGGAGGAATCATGGAGAGAGAGAGAGAGAGAGAGAGAGAGAATGATATATAATTATTCTTGTTCATTATTCTCCAAGGTTTATTATCACTGTGATATCTCTCATCAGTTATTTATATATCACTAGTTACATCTCCACACTCTAGTAATTCATTTGTTTCATTAAATTTCACTTAGTTCCAGTCGATGGTGATTGGTCAATGGTCAGTTATTGTCTCGTCATAATTGGTTGTCCGTATGTCCGACTTTACTCCTGTAGATACTGTACTGAACATACACAGTGAAGCCTCCATATAAAGGACCCTTGATATAATGGACTTTCATCTCTATATCATTAATTAGATGGGGATTTTATGTCTAATGAGCCCTCGATATAAAGGACTTTCATCTCTAAATGCTCGTTAGATGGGGATTTCATATCTAATAGACCCTCGATATAATGAACTTTCCTCTCCATATAGTCCATTAAATAGAGGTTTTACTATACTATTGTAAAAAATAACCAAATAAGGACATTACAGAACATCTTACCAGCCTTTAACACTATTTTCATGTATAAACAGCTTATGCTAATTTTATAGGCAATACAGTACATATGGATAACTTGTTTGTATATCTCAGAGTTCGTCAGCCAAGGAGCACCCTGTGTGTGTTATGTACAGTATATACCGGGTAGTATAAATCAATCGTTGGAGTGAAGAGTAACTTAGTTTGAGAGGCATTTAGGATCTGGATAGACTACGTGAACTAAATAAACCTGACCCAAACTACCTTAGGATGGTTAGATTTTGTTTTGTTTGGTCTGCTACGTAAATTTTCACACTAGTTTCTTTATTTTCTTGCTCTTGTGTTAGATTTTTATGATGTAGATTTAAATCAGTGATGTAATTAAGACTGTGAATGAGTCTCTCTTCAATTTTAGCCTTTATGAATTGTCTGAAGATTAGCCCCCATATGCTCACTTGAAGATTATCTCTTATGCTCACTTGAAGATTATCCCCCTAATGCTCACTTTAGCCAAGATATGGAAGATTAACCCCCTCTCATCTGGATTAACCAAAATATGCTCACTTGAAGATTAGCCCCCTCCCATATGCTCACTGGAAGATTAGCCCCCTCCCATATGCTCAATGGAAGATTAGCCCCCTCCTAAATGCTCACCTGAAGATTAACCCCCAGCTTAACGAGCCTTAAGTTTAACCGCCCTGAAACTATCTTAGGGGCTATTGTTCAGGTAATCCATAGAGATTGAAGTTACAAATGACCTCGTTCAATATGTCGACTACACCTGTGATTATGGTGAAGATCTGATCAAAATATAACGCAATGAAACGGCAGAGCGAAACTTTTAAAACTTTACATTTGCTATTTTTGAAACTTTACATTTGCTGCTTTTGACATTTTCTTGTATAATATTGTTGTATTTTTTGTTGGATTTCTATTCTTGTATGTTGTTGTTGTTGTCATTCATCTGTTTTCCACCAGTTGTTTACCAGTTAGGGATTATGTGAGGTTTTCCAAATGATGATGTGGCACTAAGGTAGATTCTCAGAGGCTGATACGTGGATGAGCGTCTGTTTTATGCGAGTTTATCATCCCACATAGACGATTAGGTTGAGTTTGGTTAAATCGTCTATGTAAGAAAATCGTTTAATCGTCTAAATGTTATGTAATCAAAAACTTTACATTCGAACTTAAGAAAATTCAGATTCGGGTTGATACAAATTTCTGATACCAAGGGAAGGACTGTGTGTGTGTGTGAGATGGCGGACTAATATGTTACTTCTCTGACCCCACACAGGATGCGAGTGACATATATTACGAGCCAGATGACCTGACCACGACCTTGGGCCCTCCTGACCGACCCCCACCCCCTATACCCAAAACCAGTCACCCCCAGACATATAATTTTGCCTTCTTGCACTGATCTGTCCCCCGATAAACTAACTAATACTATGTTTATATACTCTATGTGGGTGTTATAGTCATGTGGAGTATGTTGGGTATGTTGTTGGTAGTTTGTGTTATTCTCACAGTCTCCGCATAGTATAGTTTATATACTTAACCTTTTAAGGACATTGATTTAACCCTTTGATGTTGCTGGTTTAAGGACTCAGAGGGTTAAACATGATGCCATTTTGGAATTATAAGACATTTTGATAACTTATACCAATTTGAAACCCATTTAAGAATTTTGCAATTCAGTGATATGACATCACTGGAGAGTCAAGCATCAGATAAGTGACTTCACTCCTCATACTGTCTGGTCACATGCTGAGAGAATGACATAACTGCTTAGATCCTGGTCTACCAATTAGAACTGTAAGGTAATCAACACCTAGGTTTGTGATTGGTGGATCAGATGTCAAAACCCGCACTAACATTGTTGCCAAATGTCTCGTCATATGTACATTATTGTGTATGGTGAGGTTTGGTAACACTGTACAGTACTGACTATAGCACCTTCAATTATTTCACTGACCTTATATATGATGTGATCTTCTTTATCTGTCTGTCTGTATGTCTGAACTAGCATAATACATTGGTTTATTTTAGTTAATTAATTAATACACTAAAATATCACTCATTTATTCACAATATTTATAATAATTAACTGTAGATAATGTCTCTGTCAAGGATGTCATTATTTCAATACAATATGGTAAGGTTTTTTAATACAGTGGGGTATGCTATAACGAATCTAATTGGTTCTAGAACCTCGTTCGTTATAGGATTAATCCGTTCCAGGCCCCCAAATACAACCACTTGACACTGAAAAATTTCTGTGGAAATTGTAAAAAATACGGTACTTTATCTTACCTTAGTGTTGTTAGCATGCAGGACAGGAGGCAGAGGGGGAGGGGGGAGGAGAGAATTATGGAGAAGAGGTGGAAGGAGAGGAGTCATCCTTCCTAGCCCTCTTTGGTGACTGTCTCACAGGCACTTTGTCTGTTTATTTATAATTTCTTTCTTAGTTTCAAGGGTTATTAGCTTTCTCACTCGCTTTTGACAATTCCTTGTTACAATTGTACACTTGTATAACATAATAGTTATAAAAATAACACGAATTTCCACATCAAAAGACGAAATTTCAACAAGTTCAGTGGTGCACTGACTACACAATGAACCAATATGGCGCCTGACGCTCTTGTTGTGAGCCGCGGTACAACAATATTCATGCGCCAGACGAAATAGTCCTGTATTCATCCGCGTTCGTTGTAGGAGTTGCGTTCCTTATAGCATTCTCAATTTTATAGGTAAAACCGTTCGTTATAGGAATATTCGTAGTAGAATCCGTTCGTTATAGCATACCCCACTGTACTGTATATAGAAAAGACCAAAGTTTCTGTGTGGCTGGATCGTCAACACTCGGATAAGATAAATAATTGTCCGTATTTTTTCACGTAATTTACACTAGAAAAGGTTTTATATGGCAATTTTAGATATGATTTACAGACTTTATTTATATTACAGGAAGAATTTACATATATCTATTGGTATTCATATATACATACATACATACATACATACTCAAGGTCACTGTTATATGATCATACTCTTCTCTCTGGCGTCCCGGTGAACATGAAAATAGCCCATGATATAATTTTAGCTAGGCCTTCCTCGACATGGGGCTTTAGCCAGAGCGTCAGCCTTGCCCTGATTGGTCCAGTTTATATTTTAACCATTCATGACGTTATCTAACATATTTATATTCTCGCTCAATTATTATCCTTATTTATTCTTCTCCCCTTTTATTTATTGAGTGTATTTATTATGTATTTCATATATTTTCATACTCAGCCCGTAGACTGTGGGTCAACACGATTTATTCTATAGAAATCTGTTTATTCCTGCTTTTACATGTCAGCCATTGAGAGAGCTATATCATTATTATTAGAACAAAACACTTAGCTCACGAATCTCAGCTCACGAATCTCCTGAATATTAATTATATTCTCCATTTGGTGCATTTATATCTTTAATTTGGTACATATTTTTCTGTGGATAGTTTAATATATCTAATGGGAAGTAAATTACTCTTGGGTCTCTCCAATTCAATCCCAAGATTCCGAAGTACCTGCGGAAATTATGGAACTCCTCTCCTCCCTCCCTCCGTTTCCCCGTGTGGTTCCAAAGATATATTAAATAACAAAACAATGCCCCCTGTAATACTAGGATGCAGTAACAACGATTATAAACAAATTATGAAAATATAAATGAGACTCGCAACTCCCACTGTGAAGTACGAGTGTAAAATGTATCTGTTAATGAATTGTGATATACTTAGGTCAACAAAGTTCATGTGATTGGTTGGCAGAGGTCATACGTCACAGCCTCTATCAGGGACCCCGGATATAACGAGGCCGCTAGTAAGAATTTCAACTTTTATCATGTTGGCATTACCGTGCTAGAGGAAGCCAATGACTTACAAGTTAGTAATGATAATTCAAGACCCATTGTTCTTGAAAATACGGCGTGTCGGATGATGGAATCGGCCGCCGCCATGTACCATAGTGTAAATAATATTGTTAGCCGTCTCAATTTAGCCCAACCATTTTTGTGAAGTACCTATCTTAAAACGTGGGACATATGTTGACTGTTTATATTTTTTCATAATGAATTAGTTCACATGAAATGTATAGTCTATTTATCCTTATTATTGTAATAATAAAAATATTGTTATGTCATGGAGTTTGACTTGTGCCTGTGTTATATGAAGGTTCCCTCAGGTTTTGCATGGTGAGTGACAACAATGCGGAGTGTACAAATTCCCAGAAGAAAAAATATCCCACCTGACATCACCCTGCTGGACAAAATCCCACCTGGAGTTCCTGTAAATCCTAATTAGCTGTTAGTCTACAATCTAATTTAAGTTTACGGCCATCATAAGGTAAGATAACGACAAGATAATTATTTTATAGTTTACGTCGATTCAGTTTGTGTGTAGATGTTGCCGGTGTATAGAGGTGAAGAGGTTTTTTTTCTCGAGCTGGAGAACGCGGGCGGTTTAGAAATTAACTAAGTTCAGCGGAACTGTGCGAGGGAGAAAATTCACCCGCGGGACATGCACACCACACTCCTGTACACACCCGCGGGACATGCTCACCACACGCCTGTACAGTATTTACAAACAGCTGTACGAAAAAATGTGCCAAACGTTCTAGAATTCTTATGGCATTGGAATAATTCGGACGAAATGCTTTTCCTGCGCACCAACATCTCTGATAGAGTGTGGACATACTTGTGAATATTTTTGTCAGGTGTATAGAGTAAACTTAAAGTATTTGTGTATTATGATTATACATTTTGAATATTTGAAATTGTATATAATATTAAACCATATACAATTATAACGAAACATTATATATATACGTAATTTGAACATTAATAATGAGATGGTACAATGAAGTATTACAGAACGTCATGGCAGCCTATCTAGACTTACAGTATATTATGGGATACAAAGATAGAATATTCCTCTTATGTCATAATTTTAAAATCCCGTGATCACCAAAGTAACGTAATAATTGATTCCTTCCTTTATGCGAATGTAACTACACAACCCGACTGAAATTCCCCGCGCAAGACTAACGGGCTTGTCTGGTGTGCCATTAAGGTGATTAATCTTCAGGTGAAAGAAACTATGGTGGGTATTCTTCAGGCGTTCTCTTTTATTTACATATTTTAATATATGAAAATGTAATTAAGTAGTTACTGGCGGCGCTGAATGCCCAAAAATACATTTGTAAATACTGAAGTTCGCATTGGTAATACTGTAGTGTTTGGATCATGTGAAGATTAGACACCCCAGCTTATTTCACTTTATTTAAAAATACATATATAATACTATCTGGCAATTAGTTTAAATAAGTAAGGTTATATAAGATTAGGTTAGCACTAGTTTAGATTAAGGTCATTATATTGGATTAGATTACATTAGGTTAGTTTGAGGGTCATATAAGCTGGTTTGCATAATTATTCACATGATCCAACTGTGTCTTCCTGGTGTTGTATTCAGTCCTGGGAAATAAGTGATTTGGGGGAGGGGGTTAAGGAGTTTAATGCTGATTAACACAATAGCTGCCCTCTTAGCCAGTGCAGTTGGCGATTTGTCCGATCTTCCTGGGCAGTCCTCATTACACCTCTTGATGAAGCCTGGGTGCTGTGTTATGTCTCCAGTAGATGTCGCCAGCGTGCCAGGCATCCACCTTGGTCGGACTGAGAGGAGCTCCGGACTTGGTGATGTGGGCGTGGTAGCCGCGGGAGGCGAGCCAGCGTACCATACTCTGGAGGGCGTGTAGGCGGCACGGAGAGTGGTACTTGTGGCGGTTGTTGGCGACCACTGACCACTCCATGAAGACGTAGGGAGCGAAGTGTGAGGTGAGGAAGGACCTACCTCCCATCACTGCCCCACACTCCCACCCCTCTGTTGGAAGGATGTGGATGGATCAATACATACTGTACATACATACATACATACACTCATACAGTACATACATATATACATACATTCCTACAGTACATACATACACTCATACAGTACATACATACACTCATACAGTACATACATGCATACATACACTCATACAGTACATACATACACTCATACAGTACATACATACATGCATACATACAGTACATACATGCATACATACACTCATACATACACTCATACAGTACATACATACACTCATACAGTACATACATGCATACACACACTCATACAGTACATACATGCATACATACACTCATACAGTACATACATGCATACATACACTCATACAGTACATACATGCATACAGTACATACACACACTCATACAGTACATACATGCATACATACACTCATACAGTACATACATGCATACATACACTCATACAGTACATACATGCATACACACACTCATACAGTACATACACACACTCATACAGTACATACACTCCAACAGTACATACATACATATGGTAAGTGTAGATAGATATTCAGTAAAATCTTCATATAAGTTCACATTTATTCAGCATGTATACATAGACAGATATACAAAGACAATACAGGTATACATATACATAATATACAGTTTATAAACACACACACACACTCACCTACATCAATCTTCAGTAGGACAACGGAAGTATTCACAAAGACCTTGAGGTGATCAAGGGTCACAGAGGTCACCAGGTCATGGGGACGTGTCTTGTGGATGACCTCTGCCTCTTCGGAGTCCGCCTTGACTACCACTGTTCCACCTAGGTTGCCAGTTTTGTACCGTAGCTGTGTGGAAAATTGGGTATATACTTTAGTTTACTATTGGTTTGGTTGGGTTATGTTTGGTTTGGTTAAAGTTGGTTAGGTTAGGGCAGGTTAAATTTGGTTAGGTTTAGAACAGTTTAAAATTGGTTAGGTATGGTAAGGATAAGGCAGGTTAGATTTGGTTAGGTTAAGTTAAAACAGGTTAAATTTGGTTAGGTTAAGTTAGAACAGTTTAAAGTTGGTTAGGTATGGTAAGGTTAGGGCAGGTTAAATTTGGTTAGGTTAAGTTAAAACAGGTTAAATTTGCTTAGGTAAGGTAAGGGTAGTTTAAATTTGGTTAGATTAGGTTACTAAAACACCTCCCTGACCTGATCTCCCTGAACTAATCTTAACCAACTGACCTTAGCCTGGAAGCGGGAGTCAGCAATAGCGTGAAGCAGGATGGTGACCTTATTTGCCACGCCCCCAGCTGCGGCCCCGGCGTGTAACCTGACCGCGGATGACCACACGGGTTCAACAGCCACCGCCCGTACGCCCATTCGCGCCCCCAATAGACTATACACGCCCACATGAGCACCTAAGTCTATAACGGTACTGGATCTGCAATGATAGGTTATTAGTAGTAGTAGTAGTACCGGGTAGTTATATTAGTAGTAGTAGTACCGGGTAGTTATATTAGTAGTAGTAGTACCGGGTAGTTATATTAGTTGTAGTACCGGGTAGTTATATTAGTAGTAGTAGCTATTATTTTTATTACTATTTATCTATCATTATCACAACACCTAAATAAACTACTCCAGACAGACTCACGGGTAATAAGTAAGAGCGGTTGTAAAGAGACTGACAATCTGTGTCTCCCAAGTTCCTTCTCGTAGCAGTTGTTCAGAGATGTATCTGTCATCAGGTGTATTGTGCGGGCAGATGGAATACTGCGGTTCGTTCCTGTAATATATATGTATAAGTTAATTTATTGTGATTTATTGGTTGTAATTTCACTTTTTGTATTGTAGTTATTGTTGTTATTGTTGATTTGATTCTAGTGTTATCGTTGGAAATGTTATTGACCTGGTTTTAATGCAGAAGAGAGAGGGAGAAGCTGGGTGGGTCATGTCCAGGGTGATGAGTGTTCTCGGTGACCCCCCACCAGGCAGGATACGGTCAAATAAACTCTCCTCGTCCACCTCTCTCACTACCACACCAGGGCCCGCCTGTGTGGACATTGGAACACGGATTAGGAACATACAGTAGAACAGGGATGCGGAACGGGGACACGGAACGGGGACATAAGATTAGACAGAGGCTACCTTCACTCCTACCACCATCACCACCACTATTATCACCATCACCTACCAAATCGCGGGTCATCTTGGAGGGTGGGTGAAGGAGATCTTGGGATTGCACGTACCCAGGGGGCCAATCTTCGTTACCTTCCAAGAAATCATGGTGGCCGTGATCAGTACCAGCGGCATTTCTATCACCAGCTACTAGATTCACGACTATTACCACCGCTCCCAACGCCAATACTGTCCAGATGTGAGAGATAAAGAAAGAAAGAGAGAGAGCGAATTAATCTACAAAATATACCGTTTTCCTTTCAATTTTACCAGAGTTATCGGCCATTGGGGACGATTTTCAAAATTTTTAAGGGGTAACTCACCTAAGACGAGGAGTCGGTGTGCAGTTCTTGGTCGGCGTCGCCAGCCAGGCATTTCTTGGTTATCACCGTCTAGGCATCCTGTCCCCTTTACTCTCCTCACCTCTTCCTTACCTCTCACACACCTCTTACTGCCTCTCCCAACTGTGGAAGAATAAATATGGCAAGTTAGGTAGAAATTACTCCATATACTGTGTACGGTAGATTAACCCCTTATGTATGATGACTTAAACCCTTGAATATGATGACTTAACCCCTTAAATACGATGACTTAACCCCTTAAATACGATGACTTAACCCCTTAAATACGATGACTTAACCCCTTAAATACGATGACTTAACCCCTTAAATACGATGACTTAACCCCTTAAATACGATGACTTAACCCCTTAAATACGATGACTTAACCCCTTAAATACGATGATTTAACACCTTTCGCCACACATAAAACAAAAAAGTATGAAATTTGTTAATAAAGATGCATAATAAACAAACAGACCCAAACTAACACCATGAGCAATTAATGGGTGAGAATGCAGACCCCTGGAGTAGGTTGGGGGAGGGAGGGAGAAGAAGGGAAAACAGAAAAGGAGGAGGGACGGATCGATCACTTGATAGGCTTCTGGCGAGAGGAGTGCCTTATGGGGGGGAGGGGGGGGTATCAGCTGTTTAATTGATTGATGACGTCACTGGAGGGATACCTTAGCCCCGCCCATCCCAACAAGGTAAACAAAGAAACAGCTGATTATTGTCCTCCTTACTGACTTGACTGATAATATATTTCCACCCATAATTCTTTTTGTTAGATACGTCCCATTATATACACTGCCAAATATATATATATATAGATTGATTGATTGATCCACTCATTTATAAATAGATAATAATATAGATTGATATAGAGATACATACATACATAAACATACGTAGAAAGATGCAAACTATATTTTCTTTTGAACATACTAGAGAGAGAGAGAGAGAGAGAGAGTGGGGGGAGAAAGAGAGAGAGAGAGACTTACCCCGGTACAGCAGACGAGTGAGAATTATTGTATATCTTCACTACACTGTTCTTGATCACCACTATTCTTTCTCTGGGGGACAAACATCATTCCTGAGTGTTGATAAAGAGATATTTCTCATTTGTGGGAGTGAGAGATAGAGAGATGTATTTAGATAGAGATGAAATACACTACCTCAACGTATCACGGCCAAAGCCTCACTGAGTTGTTGAATGGAGTCACGAAGGTTTTGGTAGTCGATGGTGTTAGTGGTAGAGTTATTATGTTAGAAATTTTTATCTATCTACCCACCCTTATCTACCGTATCTTAAAGCCTCACTATTCTTAAACTAAATATTAACATCACATTACACCACGTTACGTTCCCACAAACCAAGCCTTAATCTTTACTACTTTAAATGAACTAATATAAACACACGTTCTTTAAAAATGACTTAAATATACAAATTAATCTCTTATAACAGCGATATTACGATAACATGATTCAGTTGTGAGTATAAACAAATTTCTATGGCAATTATATACGTTTGCTATGATGTGGATTTTCCTATACTTCAAGGGATGACTTGTGTATTTGTATTTCTTGGATTTTTAAAAGATTCAAAGTTGTATTTTTTTATCATCGACCTTGATGTAATACCCGGGGGTCATTTCAGGTCATCCGGGCAGGTCACGGTGTCAGAGGTCAGGTTATATTTAAATGGACGTGTTTTTTTTCTTTTGTTCTCTTATTCTTTATTATATTTGACCAGACATTAATTGACGCCTCTTTCTCTCTCTCTCATAATAATAATAATAATAATAATAATAATAATAATAAACAAATCGCATTTAAATTTTAGAAGACCTTGTCGGTGCTCTGTGATAATGCGCCGTTCCAGTTCTCTAAGTAGCGGGTCAATATTTAACACAGTTTAAGAAATATTATTTTATTTTTGATGAGCTATATTAATGGTAAACCCTATAGTATTTTATTTGCATATTGGTCTTTTTTTTAGTTCGTTGTTAATATACTTAAATTCCTTTCATATTTGACTAATGTTTTTACTTCCTACTGTTGGTCTACCACGAGCTTAACCTGACAAGATACAGACTCTAATATAAACTATAATAGATATAGATTCTGATTATGTCCCTCTGTTTAATATATGTAATTTTAGGTTTGTTATGCTGTTGTACACATGAGCTTCCAGAGGCGACACTATGGAAGAGAATTTACACGTGTTATACCTGGAAGAGTGAAAAATTTACGTTTTCTTTGCGTACGAATGTATTTGTTTTCTGTAACTTATTCAAGATTTAGTGGATGACTTTACCAAATTGGCTGGATGGGGACCGGGAGGACAAGCCTGGCGGCATTAACGAAGAGCGCTGACTGTGTGAGTTGTCTGCGCCTTTTATGGACGCTTTTGAAATTCGTGAAAGGTAAGTTGGATAATAAGTCAACTGCAGGAAGTTGAAAATATATGTGTGTATAGTTTATAGTGTAATATAAGACGAGGCATATCCAAATTGGAGGTATATATGGGGGAATTATTACCAAGAGGTCTTTTGTGTCCAGGCAATGAGCCGTCGCCATTATTTTCAATTTACTTAAACTGATTTTTATTTTCTCATTTAATTGCAGTCACTTGTAATGATCCTTGAACTATTATTATAATTATTACTCCTGGTTGAATTATAAAAGGAGATCCATCTCATCTTGTAAAGAGTTTACCTAATTTTATGCAATAATTATGTGGAACATGAATACATAGCCACTATTGTAGTGGAATAATAATGAGTGATTGAGAATACAGATGAAGGGCCATCTAGGCGTGAATTGTTAGAATTATTAAATGAATGCTGTCGCCAACACAACAACCACACTCAGGGAGTTAACGAGGTTACATTTTGTCCGAGAGAAGACCGAACTACTCGTCAATACTGACTAAACCCACCATTACCTCGGAACACGATTAACATCAAAAGTCCTCCAATTACTGCTGGGTAGACGAAAGAGCTAATGGCGTAAAGAACACGTTCTATACTCCACCATTACCATTTTATTGGTAAAATTTGTTTTTATCCCAATTTTCCCAGTTGGTATATGAGATATTTTGTTTCTTGCGAATAATAACCTACTATTTGCTGCTATACCTATCGGTTTTTTTCCACCAACCTTAATAAAAAGCCTTGTGATAATAGTAAATAATCACAGAAATACCTTTTGGGATAAACATTGAAGGTCAATTTATGATGTAGTACATAGTCAGGTTTGAGTTTAACAAAATACGTTTTTCACACCGACGGAACAGGTTATTTTAATACTTTTCTATGGCACTTACATCGGAAATTTATATTTTTCGGTATTTTAATAGATAAAATTACAACAATATTTACTTGTTATGAAAAGTGAATGGCACGTCGAGGAAAATGTTGGTAAAAATACTAAAATACCAAACAAACCTTTGAAAACCTGACCTAACATTTCCTAACTTGTAAAATTCTTAAGAATCACTAAGAGTTATGAATCCTTCGCCAGCTGAACACCGAGAAATAACATACTAAACCGAGGGGTACATCTACTAAAGCGCGAAGAAATATGAATAAAGGGCCAAGCTTTATAGTCTTGGGGAATTTTAAGGTTTGACTCATGCCATGGTTATCTGATACAGTACTGTACAGTGTTAACTAATGTACTGTCTTGGTTACATGCCATCTTTTCATGAGATCATGCCATCACTTGATATTTTTTAAATAATGTTTTGTGTGTTATACCTTTAGCTGAGTATATTTTAGTTTTTATTTGAATATAAAGATTCAATTATTATAAATTAATGAAACACATAATACAGTATAATATATTATTTTATCAGTTCACATCAATTCCATATCAAAATACATAAATTCATTACATCAATTCCTGTCGAATTCACATCAATTCATTGATATCAATTCATTACATCGTTCATATCCAATTCATCAATTCATATCAATTCTTTTGATATCAATTCAATTCAATTAACTAATTTTAATTTTTTGTATTTTCGAATTCCAATTGACGGATTTTTTCAATCAATTCAATTCAATTCATAATTGACCCCATGTCTGTCGGCAAGCTCTCGTTGTACAACTCTCTTGCTTAGCACTCTGGGATGCACCATGTCGGAACCGGGACTCTTATGGACCTTTAGCTTTGACAGTTTATTTCTAATACCCTCTTCTGTATGGACACAATCATGTGGGTTAGTGCTGTGTTGAACCGTCTGTCTCAAACACCGGGAGAGGGGATTAATCGCATCCTCTCTTGCCTTGAGCCACTAGAGAGAAAAGCTTCATTGGCCACCTGCTTTATCCTGTGGGTCAGAATCTCGCGTGGCTTCTGCATCTTCAAGCATCAGATAGGCCTTCTACACTCGCGTTTTAAATTTCGACTTTGCATAAGATTCTACCTGGCCCCTGACTGGAATTTGCTCCACTTCTGTATGTGTCTGGTCTCTTAACATTTTGAACAGAAAATTATCTCCAGTTTCTACAAAAAAGAGTAGCAGGGTTATTCAAGTCATTGGGGAGTGAACTCGTTTCTCCAGTTGATGTCGCCATAGTTAAAGTCCCCCATGATAAGTAGGTGGCTAGGGTTGAGCATCATATGACTTATATAATAAGGCTCTTAAGTTCAGCACGATTTTAGTAAGGTCACAGTTTGGGGATCTGTGGAATGCACCCGACATTGACCGACAATAAGTAAGTCCCCTCCCTTTAGTTTAATTTGCTTCACTTGGATATTCAAAACATCCTCTCCCTGTACCCTCCGCCTAGCTGTCTAAGGTCTTTTCTTGAATAACCACATCCCTCTTGCAAGTTTCTTAAGAAAGGTTCATGGCCAATTATCCAGCATACTGAACTTGTTCTCTTAGGTCCTAAATTCCTGTTGTTGTACAACAGTTCTACAACTCGACAGTATCTGGTTGGGTAATACCTTCCGTAGTGTTTCAAACTCCTCTCTCTCTTATCCAAAGGGACGTGTTAGTATTGGTGTACGGTATGACATTCAAGCCAAGAATTATTTCTCTGTAACATCTCTGCTCTTAGTAGTAACACCCCCCGATCACAAGCTGCAGCATTTACAAAGTACACTGTATTTTGCAGGGTGTGGAGTAGAAATATCCATTGTTTTACAGGCTATCTAACCCCTGAATCCATAACCCATATACACCCGTCCTGTTCCTCCTCGACCCTTCCCTTCTCTGCTTCAAGTCCTCTGCAGGAGCTTCCTGTGCTGTTCCCTCCTGCATTAGTGCGATCTGGGTGGAATGAATACACTCCAGATGCCTTGCTGAGATTTTTGCCTGCCAAAATAACCTCCATTTTGCTTCTCCTCACTCAATAGTGTGATCCTGAGGGGCAAGGCTTATCCCCTGCTTTGTCCCAGCCTCTCACATCCTGAGGGGTTGATGGCATCTCTGTACAAATATTCTTAAACTGCATCTTATCATGTATCTTACTCTGTTCCCTCAAGCAGCTCTCAGGACTCCAAAACCCTACTACATTGTTCCTGTGCTGGGAAACGTCCCCGTTGTTCCTCCTCTCCCCTGCAGTAAGGTTCATTAATTTTCATTTCAGCTTCGACACACTTCTTCAGAGTCCCTAAGCTGCTGTAGAACCTCATTTTAGTCTGCAGTACTCTCTCCTCCACCTCTGTAGCCCTGCATATACCTCAGCATAACTCCTCTTAGCAACCACCTCCATTCATAGGCTCTTCCTCAGTCTGCATAAGGACCTCTGTCCCAATTTGTTGTTCCTAGTTTGGCAGCCAGCAAGGCTCCGGCTTCATCTAATGTATTTTCGTCCCTAGGGAACTCATTTTTATGAAGCGCAATCGCCTCTTTCACCTTGTTCCAGCGCAGTCAGAACCCAATACCAACAACAGCCTTCCTGCTTTGCGGCAGTTAACATCTTCTAAACGGTGCGTGGTCAGGCCTGCTTATCCTCCATATCCGTCATCCCCGCAGTAATCTGTCATCATTTTCTTCATGGTTGTTGTTGTTGTTGTTTGTGGTGGGGGTTCTGAACTTTGTATAGATCTCACACCTATTTAAAAATAAAGAAACAAAACAGTACTGTGCTAAGCTGCCCTCTGCTGCCTCCCCTGTTGCCTTTGGTGAGTCTTGTTTTCTTCTCTTTTTTTCTTCAGGATCACTTCAGGCATTTGTCGGTGTTGTGTGCTATCTCTAT